GCCACCCTTGGAGCTGCTCAATGATCTAATGGTGGCTTATTCAAAAACGTGCCATTCCTTGGAGTGCTAGATTAATGAAGTTGGACTGTGTATGCTTTTGTTTGGACTTCTGATTTGGTCACAGCAGTGACGTGCAGAGATTTGGTGATGTCTGGGGCCAACTCCTTGATTGTATGCCCTGAGACTCAAGTAAGAAGGGGGTGGGGATCTATGTGGCCTAGTACTGAGAAAGGAAGTCATTTTAAATATGTAAAAACGGATGAAACATGAAAAAAACACTTTATTTCAAAAACTAAATTTTTATTTCACTCTTTGATCAGATATCACCCCCCCCCCTGCCAACACTGCAGTGCTCTTTGGTCTTTGGGTGTCTGTTATGCTCAGTAACCTTTTTGGAAATTTGAACTGAGCACTTTATTTAATCTTTGGGAGTATATTGTTCTCATTCCACTTTAAAGGCTTAAGGGATATCTTGTATTACTTAACTCTCCACTCTTGTCTTGCTTGGCATGTTTCAGTCTTGTATCAGCTAAGATACTCTAAGTTTGTTTCTAAAATTTAAATAGCTTTAGTTCTGGGAAAATTCCAGCAGTTCATCTTAAACTATTTATGTCTTTCTAAATTGGAATAACTTGCTCATTTTGGTTGTTAGACTCATGTTTCACCTGTTGTGCCCTCTAGTCACCTTCAGTAACACATCTTTAGAATTTTGAACTGAACTGTTTATTCACTCCATCAATTATGTTATTCTTCTTCTTTCTGTGCTTACTTTCCTGTCTATTCGCTTTTTGGGTTGCTTGTCCATTTCCTCTACTGAACCAAAGTAGACAACTTTTCTCTATTACCCTGGTAAAAAGACTCTGAAAAAAAGTATATGAAATACATTTTTATAGTAAAATTACCTGCAATAGATTTTTTTTTTTTTATTTAAAAAAAACAAAACACCAGCAATACATTTTTGAAGCGAAATTACCAGCAATACATTTTTTGAAGCGAAATTACCAGCAATACATTTTTGACTTAAATTACCAGCAATACATTTTTGAGTTTAAATTACCAGCAATACATTTTTGAAGTTTAAATTACCAGCAATACATTTTTGAAGCGAAATTACCAGCAATACATTTTTGAAGCGAAATTACCAGCAATACATTTTTGAAGCGAAATTACCAGCAATACATTTTTGAAGCGAAATTACCAGCAATACATTTTTGAAGCGAAATTACCAGCAATACATTTTGAGTTTAAATTACCAGCAATACATTTTTGAAGCGAAATTACCAGCAATACATTTTTTGAATTACAACAATACATTTTTGAAAATTACCAGCAATACATTTTTGAAGCGAAATTACCAGCAATACATTTTTTTGAAGTTTAAATTACCAGCAATACATTTTTTTTGAGCGAAATTACCAGCAATACATTTTTTTTGGAAAATTACCAGCAATACATTTTTGAGCGAAATTACCAGCAATACATTTTTTGAGCGAAATTACCAACAATACATTTTTTAGTTTAAATTACCAGCAATACATTTTTTGAAGCGAAATTACCAGCAATACATTTTTTGAAGCGAAATTACCAGCAATACATTTTTTGAAGCGAAATTACCAGCAATACATTTTTTGAAGCGAAATTACCAGCAATACATTTTTTGAAGCGAAATTACCAACAATACATTTTTGAGTTTAAATTACCAGCAATACATTTTTTTTTGAAGGAAATTACCAACAATACATTTTTTTGAGCGAAATTACCAGCAATACATTTTTTTTGGCGAAATTACCAGCAATACATTTTTTTGAAGCGAAATTACCAGCAATACATTTTGAAGTTTAAATTACCAGCAATACATTTTTGAAGCAGAAATTACCAGCAATACATTTTTTTGAAGTTACCAGCAATACATTTTTGAAGCGAAAATTACCAGCAATACATTTTTTGAGTTTAAATTACCAGCAATACATTTTTTGAAGCGAAATTACCAGCAATACATTTTTGAAGCGAAATTACCAGCAATACATTTTTTTGAAGCAAATTACCAACAATACATTTTTTTAGCTTAAATTACCAGCAATACATTTTTTGAAGCGAAATTACCAGCAATACATTTTTTGAAGCGAAATTACCAGCAATACATTTTATGATCTACAGATCTGAAAAAAAAATAAAGTTTACCCTGAAAGTATAAAATTATGTACAAAATATTTAAATGATGGCATTAAATAACCCAAAGAAGTTGATATGCTGCTAAATGAAATCAGCAGTCTGTTACCTGATTCAGAGAATGAACACACAACTGCCAAAGAACCAGGTATCTTTTTAACCAATGTTTTCACCTACTAGGCCATGTGTCTCATGGATAATTTTATGGTGTAATTTTTGGAACTTTAGACCTAATGTCATAAACAATGGTTCAGTGGAAGAAACATATAAGTAACAGAAAGATGAGAAAACTGGAGCTTCTTAGCTGATAGGAGTTACAAGCATAGAAATGAGGAATGAGAAAGATCTACCTCAGTGGATTTAATAATATTTAGAGATATAATAATTATTCTTTATTATAATACTTCTGGCATAAACAGTGTTACTACTTGAAAAGCTTTATAAATTCAAATGCAATGTCAATTGTCATCTACTGTCCTCTTCTTTAGTCTTTTATTGTTCTCACTCTTTAATAATGGTTCCCTTTTTTCTTATTCTTTCACACTAAGTAACCCCTTGTGGCTTTACTGCTTTGCTTGGGGTGATGTGATTTAAAAAAAAAAAAAAAAAAATGTAAGGATATTTTTGGTTAGAGAAGAATCTTAACACTGACCAGACAAGAGGTAGCAAGGGGAAGCAACAAGTGACCTAATGAGATAGTATGAATGCAAGGAGGGACAAAAAAAAAAAAAAGAATAGGAAGTTGTAGTCATATTTGCCCATGTCCAAAAAGGCCAAGGCACGTAAAAAAAAAAAAGTCCTTTGAAAAGCAGGGGAAACTGGTAGTAATGTACTTAACAAGTTTATATGAATAGATAGTGGAACAGGACAGAGGGTTATATTAACGAGTCAAAAGTTGCTAAGAACAATTACAGAAAGTTGTGGAGAGCCATGATTGCCCATGTCTTGAACATGGCACATAAAACAAGCATCATATGAATGGTAGAACATGAACAAAGGGATATCAAAGAGTCAAAAGTTACTTAGAGCAACAAAAAAAGGAAGTTGTGGAGAGCCATGTTCTGCGGGGACATGATGCAATTATTATTCATGTTTTATGTATCTTCATTTTCATCTTATTAATTATGGCTTTTTGAATGGAAACTCCAAACGGTCATTGGTATAAGTTGTCCATGTTAGGCTCTGACTGTAAAATAAAATGCAGAAATCCTTTCTATATTATTTGGCTATCATGCGTTTACTGTCTGCTTCAGTAGAATGAAAAAAACTTGTCAATTTTAAATGTTTTAATTTGTACCCACTTACTTCTTTAAATAATGACCTACATTTGGTTGAAGTTGTTAAGCTCAAATATTTAACAATGAAATTTCCTACAGATATTTTGTAGTTATGGAACTTTATTGAGCTTATTTATTCATTAAATGTTATGATAGATCAGAATATACAAAAAGGAAAACCGTGAAATATTGCTAGTATATTATTGTATACTTACATTAAGTCTCTGTCTCAGTTTGACGTCTGTTCATTGACTTTTGAACTACTCACTGTTTTCTTTGAAATTTTCTGATTTTTTTATCTCAATTATGAAAATAGATTTTTTTTTTTTTTTAAAAACACTTTCCATTTCATATGCCACATCTAAAGTATACTTAGAAAATTGGGCACTTTAACATGGTGTAATGGTTAACAAGCTTGTTTTGCTAGATCAATTATGACTGAATAGTGAGTTAGATCCTCACATGCCCCATACTTAAAACCTTGTACTTATGCTTATAAAATCACCATATATAGTTTTTATTAGATCTTCAGACTGTCCTGTCATCTGTGATTTTTTTTTTTTTTTTTTTTTTTTTTTTTCAACAAACAGCTCCAGATGTATCCCAGGTTTTTGGTGTCTGCTTCAGTTTTACTGCCAGGTGTTTTCAAGCCATGTTTATTTTCATCTACTTTGGTGTTGACTATTGGCTTCAATCTATCCGCATCTTCTGATTCCTAATGTTGGGCCTAGATGATAAAAATAATGAGCTTCTGGGCTCACAGAAACTTTCTATATTTACTATATCCTGTAATGATACCCCATCTTCTTCTTGGGTAGAGTTATTGATATTCTATCAGTGTTTTTTGTATTGAGTGGTTTCTTTTTAGGGATGAAGAAAAATAACATCGTACTCTATTCTCTTTCATACTCATATTGGCTTGGAAGATGTATTTTTCAAGATTGGCTTACCTTTGTTTACTGGAAAATATGTGACTGCAAAATCTTAAAAGATGATGTCCTGTCCTGATTCCTCTAGAGAAATGTTTACAGTTTTTGTCTTTTTTATATTTTTTCCCTGTGTATTTTTAAAAGAAATCTTTTTCTTTTTTTTTCTTTTTCTTAATTTTATGCATTCCTCAATAATGATTTTCCTAAATGTGGGAAAAGCATTAAAAAAAATTAACCTTAACATAATGTTAAGGATATGACCTTTTAGTTCTTTTAGTTGCCAAATGTTACAATATGGGAAAGGTTACACTGGACTATTATCATGGACTGGGCACCAATTGTGCACCGTGCCCCAAGGTATTTCTATCTGAATTGATACTGTTATAAATATGATTACTTGAACTGTAATCCTTGCCTTCCATTATTCCGTGAAGAGGAATGACAGGAGGTGACATCATTGTTGTAGTATTCAACTTTCAAACCTCTCTAGCCACATATTTGTCTATCATTCTACTTTTCTCTGAACATGCCTACCTTTATCTCTATTGCCCCTTGTACCTATCGGTCTACCTGCTTTCATCTCTCTCACTGTGTGTGCTGCCTGGTTAGTTTGTCCCATGTGTTGATGTACCAGCCAGACGGCCCGCCTCGTGTGCGGATGTACCAGCTGGTCGGTCTCGCACTGTGCCACATTCGGTTTGTTTTCCACTTAAATATACTAAGCTACTTTGAAAAATCTAACCAACTGACCACAGATAAGAATTCTGTCTTTTTTGAGGGGGGTAGTAAGTATATAACATAAGATGTCTTCCAAAAGCTAAGCAAAGTATTAAAAAACAGGAAACTTTCATTAGAAATAAAGCAAAGAGTACTGACCTGTTATGCAATATCAGTCCTCTTATATGGAAGTAAATGCTGAATAATCTCCTCACCGATGAAGAGACTTGAATCAATAGAAATGTTTCTAAAAAAGGATGCTGAGAATACCATGAACTGAACATATGATCAATAAAAAGAACATGAAATCAAAAAAGACACTTATATTTAGTCAGAGGCAGTTGAAATTTCTGAGGCACATAATGAGGAAAGAGGGCTTAAAAATTTGATACTCACAAGGCATATTGAAGACAAGACAAACAGAGGATAACCTACCTAACAAGCTTGTATAAATGGTTGGTATAACAGGGATTAAGAGAGATAGCAAAAAGACAGTTTATTAAGAGCTAAAAAGACCAGGAAATTGTGGAGAGCAATGATCACCCACATCCTAAGTCACATAGAAGAATTTTGGTTGGGCTGAAAACTTTTTATGCCTTTTCATCCGAATCAACCTTCCAATATTTTGCTCATTGTTTCTTGTTATCCAGCTAGTGAGCCTGTCTCACTTGGCTTCATCACTCCCCTCTTGATATATATTTATTTCTTCCTTTTACCTTTTGATTTATTGAAATTGCCATCTTTGAAAATGGCTTATGTAAGCCGAAAGGTTAGATTGGATTTAAACATGTATCAATATGGTGTTTTCCTTTCGTCTTTCAATGATAATGTGATTAAGCTTATCAGACAATATGAAAGGAACTTACTTAAAATAAACAAAACTTGTCTATATTATTTAATGAAACATGTATTAATGAAAAATTGCTGCCTAAATATGCACTATATATATATATATATATATATATATATATATATATATATATATATAATGTCTTATGGGGTAGACAAACAGTGTCTACTCAAATATGGGTAATCACTAAAAATAATGTTTAAGTAATAAAAATATCTGAGTAATAAATAAAGTGCATTATTTCTTTAGAGATATATAGCAAAGTGAGTAGGTACGTAAATTATATCTGATCAAAATGTTCTTTTAAGGTATGCTATATTTATTGGTTAAAGTCCTCGATATTGGGGATATTGTATAAATATAGATGTGGATATTGAGGTTAATATGAAGTGGTCACATTCTGTTTCATGCTTGAATGCAATCATCAGGCCATGAAGAATTGATTTATAATTAAAATAAGCAGGCATAATTTTCAATTAGCACCTGAACCTGAATTCAGTATCCACTTATATATACATATATATATATTTACAAATTCATTTGTTCCTTATCCTATCATTTTATTTATTTATATATTTATATATATATATATATATATATATATATACTCATCCACAGACAGACTGTTTTGCTGTATCACAGCTCATCAGTGTGGCTAGACGTGTGATTGCTTTAAGCTGGGATTGAAACCCAAATGATGACTCTCACCCTTAGGGCATCAGTGCACACTATGGAAAATGGAAATTTTTAATGCATTATATACAAGATATAAGCATTACCGACTACTAGAGGGATCAATTCATAGTGAAGAGCTTTTAGCATTAATCAGGTGTCACTGGTTATTTCCCATTCTTCCAAAGTGTTAAACCCTGCAAAAGGAGATATATATATATATTTTAATAGTCTGGTTAATAAAATTTGAAGAATAAAAAGCCAACAAAATGATACCAATATTGTCAATAAAATTGAAGCATTAAGAGATAGATTTTAATGACGGAATTTTGAAACATGACTGTGTTCTTTTTCAATGATACAGAGAATAAACAAAGAAGTGGGACGTACTCTTCTGAGGAATGTTGTTGTTGGTTAGAGGTCTCCCTGTGAAAATTCTACTCCCTGAGTAAACCTACTTCCCTGTTTAATCCCTCAATATTTAAATTTATTTGGAAAATAAATTTCAGCTTAGATCTTTCTTCTTGGCTGTTGAATGAAGATGTATATATGAAATAGTCAAGCAAAACTAGCAGTAGAGCCCAGCGTTGCCCGGGGATGTAACAGTAAGAGATAGATCAAGTATCGACCATCATAAAGACTGAAAAATAAAATTGACAAAGATTATTGTTTAAGGTTGACTGACACGCATGTCTTAATTTTTTTTTTTTTTTTTTTTTGGGTTGGTCAAACTCAAACAAAACATTGTTTTTAATCGTTATGAGTCTACCGATTGAATAGAATTTTATTATAAACAATTGTCTTGTAAATGGAATTTTTTAAAAGCATTCTGAATGTAAAAATAAAGAAAAAAGTGTGCAAGACAATAAGAAACACTACCTGCCAAAAAAAAGTGAAGTTTTGTTGAAATCGGTTGAAAAATGTAGGATATCCGATCCCATATATAAACACACACAGACAACCTGGGTTTTATAATAAGTATAACTTGATATGAGTTATCCCCCTTTCATTCTGGCAACAGAATCGTGTTTTCAAATTGATTTCATTCAAAAACAATTGTGTTTTTCTAATTTTTGGCGCTGTCAGAACCACCGCAAGGTAATTTTATGTAATCCAGTGAAGTTTTATTGAAATCGGTTGAAAAATATAGGAAATCTGATCTAATATATAAACGTACACACACACACACACACACACACACACACACACACACACAATCTGTGCTTTATAATTAATAAGATTCAAAAAAATAAATCTATTCATTGTATAATACTATGAAAATCTGAAAGTTATACTTTGTCTTGTTCTTACTTGAACAAAATATTTTTTTTGAAATAAAGATCTCAAATTACCAGCTGAGGCAGGTGCGTAGGATATACATCTCGACAGAGGCATATAACTTGGAACTGAGGCTAGTCAGCCCTAAATATTCTGTCTCTCTTTTTCTTTTCTTTTTTTCCTCTTTTCTCCACTTTCTTTTCCTCTCCACCCCCTCTCTTTTTTCTTTTCTCTCTTTCCCCTTTTCTTTTCTTTTCTTATTCTCGTGTTTTTTTTTCTTTTCTCTCTCTTTTCTCCTTAGTAGTTTTAGTGTTTATACTAATAGAAGTAAAACATAGTTGGAGCTGAAAACTGCTACTAATAACTGGCATTTATCGGGGCAGGTAACTTATGGTATAGCTCATTTAGTAAACACTAACACACTCTACCTTAGTGTCACTTTGAAGTATAAATTATAAGAAATACTTTTACAAACTTAGATACTGTGGCTGAGGTAGCAAAATCTCTCTTGAACTTTCCTGGAAACTTTTAAAAAATTGGTACATCTTAATAGTTTATAATAAAGTAGGATCTCATTCTATTAAATTAAAACTATTTTGTGCTGTGCATTTCAAAGAAGAAAAAATTATAATTGGTATTGTTGTTAGAGCAATGCTAATATTTATTACAATTTACCCCCCCAAAAAAAAATAAACAACAGACATAATATTTGAATTTACTATTCAAATATTGCATTAACAATTTGAGAATAAGTGATTTTTCCAGAAACACTTCCTACTATTTAATCTATAGCTAGAGGGTAGATTCATACCTTTTTCAAAAATATTTGCTTGTAAGTGAATGTAATTAACCAGACTCTGATTTCTCATTCCGAGCCATTATCCATTACACAACAAGCACATGCATGAGAGAATTTGGAGTGCTTACATAAACATGGTTGACTTGAGTTTGACCATTTTGTATGTGCATATATACGTGTGTGCATGCATGCATGTGTTAAATTGTACAAACGTTTGAGAAGCCCCTAAGATAAAGAGTTTGAAACTTAAGCATTGTTGTCATGGAATTACAGGTAATCAGTAAGGGTTGTTTGTGTAGTAAGATAACTAGTAAGTTAATATTTTGAAGGAGTGTTAGAATACTAAATTTTTATGTACCCCGTAGGTCGGTAGGTATGAATAAGTAGATTAATATGTGGAGTAGACATTGTGGCTTTGTTGTTCAAATTCATAAATTTGTAAAAATTCTTTTTCTCTCTCTTTTTTTTTTTATTCTTTTCTCCTCTTCTTTTTTCCTATTCTTTTCTCTCTCTTCTTTTCCCTATTCTTTTTCTCTCTCTTCTTTTTCCCTATTCTTTTCTCTCTTTTTTTCCCTATTCTTTTCTCTCTCTTCTTTTTTTTCCTATTCTTTTCTCTCTCTTTTTTTCCCTATTCTTTTCTCTCTCTTCTTTTTCCCTATTCTTTTCTCTCTCTTCTTTTTTCCCTATTCTTTTTCTCTCTCTTCTTTTTTCCCTATTCTTTTTCTCTCTCTCTTCTTTTTTCCCTATTCTTTTTCTCTCTCTTCTTTTTTCCCTATTCTTTTTCTCTCTCTCTTCTTTTTTCCCTATTCTTTTTCTCTCTCTTCTTTTTTCCCTATTCTTTTTCTCTCTCTTTCTTTTTTCTTCTTTTCTCTCTCTTCTTTTTTATAGATTCTTTTCTCTCTCTTTTTTTTTCCCTATTCTTTTCTCTCTCTTCTTTTTTTTCCTATTCTTTTCTCTCTCTCTTTTTCCCTATTCTTTTTTTCTCTCTCTTCTTTTTCCCTATTCTTTTCTCTCTCTCTTTTTTTTCCCTATTCTTTTCTCTCTCTTCTTTTCCCTATTCTTTTTCTCTCTCTTCTTTTTCCCTATTCTTTTCTCTCTCTTTTTTTCTCCCTTCTTTTTTCTCTTCTTTTCTCTCTCTTCTTTTTTCCCTATTCTTTTTCTCTCTCTTCTTTTTTCCCTATTCTTTTTCTCTCTCTTCTTTTTTCCCTATTCTTTTTCTCTCTCTTCTTTTTTCCCTATTCTTTTTCTCTCTCTTCTTTTTTCCCTATTCTTTTTCTCTCTCTTCTTTTTTCCCTGTTCTTTTTCTCTCTCTTCTTTTTTCCCTGTTCTTTTTCTCTCTCTTCTTTTTTCCCTGTTCTTTTTCTCTCTCTTCTTTTTTCCCTATTCTTTTTCTCTCTCTTCTTTTTCCCTATTCTTTTCTCTCTCTTCTTTTTCCCTATTCTTTTCTCTCTCTTCTTTTTTTCCCCTATTCTTTTCTCTCTCTTCTTTTTCCCTATTCTTTTTCTCTCTTCTTTTTTCCCTTTTCTTTTCTCTCTCTTCTTTTTTCCTATTCTTTTCTCTCTTTTTTTTTCCCCTCTCTTCTTTTTTCCCCTCTCTTCTTTTTCCCCTCTCTTCTTTTTCCCCCCTCTCTTCTTTTTTCCCCCTCTCTTCTTTTTTCCCCTCTCTTTTTTTTTTCCCTATTCTTTTTCTCTCTCGTTTTTTCCCTCTTTCCTTCTTTCTCCTCCAATGTACTTATAAAAAACAAAAACAAATTGCCACCAAATCTCAACCCATTCTAAATAAAAATAAAAAAAGCTAGCCTGTCTTGCCATAATCATTATCATTCTTCCTATTCTTAATTTTCTATTTTTTTTACATTTACCAAGGTAAGCTCAGAAACAGCTTTATAAACAAGACACATTTTTAGTTTATATCATTTTAAGTAGTTGTTGTGTTGAAGCATCAGTTGGTTATTCTTTTCTTCTAACTCAAAGTTTGTCATTCCTTAAGCTGCCTACACACGTATAAAGATAGAGAAAAGAATTTGTCCTAGAGCCAAAAAAAATCTGTTTGCTGATTTATTGCAATGATCCAAAAAATAGACTTGTAGTATTTATTAACCGCTGAAAACATTGATCCATATAATGATTACCTACTGATAAAGAAAATACAAAGAGTACATAATGAAATTTATTAGAAGAATAACGTTTTACTGAAGGGGGATTGACTATCAATGGCTGTTTACCATAGAGGGTTGCACTGGAAATGACTTACCTCTGTCAGCAACTGTTTACCATAGGGGATTGCATAGTGAGTAGCATTTTAGTATGGGGGATGCACTGAAAATACCTGTTTACTAGACCTGTTTATTATGGTGGGGATGCACTGAAAATTGCTGTTCATCTTTATGATGGCTAATACACACACACATACATACATATATATATATATATATATATATATATATATATATATATATATATATATATATATAGACACAGGGAGTAATGGGTAGTGGCTTGGATTGACGAATCGGAGAGCCAAGTTCAAATTCAGTCAAATCCATTACATTCACTTATGTACTAATACTCTTGGGAAAGGTATGAATCCTCTTCTTCCTCCAGCTATTGGTAAATAGCAGGAGAGACTGGGTTCTATATCTGTTATACCAGAACATTACCTATTCTATTGTAATAGACTCTCCCACACATAAGTAGTAGTAGTCAGCAGTGGGGTTCAGTGGAGTTGAGTGAGTCAGTCGATGTCGGACATAAAAGTATCAACCCACCACAACTAGATTGCTGCGTCATTATCTATTATTTCAAGTTCCTAACGTTTTGTACGTCGAACCTAATTCAGGACCAACTTAGTGAAATACAAGCCTCCACTGTGAAAACTACAACAATAGCCTTGGGTGGCAACTGATCTAGAAGGACAACTCTGAATTCAAAACCTGTGGAGGGTTGTTTGAGGACCTTGTGACACATAGTGCACCAGGTCTCTGTATTCAGCCCTTTAAAAAGTGTGGATGGTTCTGCACAAAACCTTCCCCACTATAATAAAATTTTATCTACTGGTGTCAGGCTGTCGGTTCCTAGGAAATGATCTGCTTGACCCTCATATGTTGAATTCGATGGAAGAGTCAAATATATGAATGAGAAAGGGAATAGTTGTAGGTTATCCACCCCTTGCTCATGAAGTTGCAAGAGGGGATGAGAGTAAGGTTCTATATCAGTAACTGAGGAGGTTGGAACCAAGGAGAATAGTCAGAAGCTCATATTCAAATATTTCTGTAGATTTTAAGATTGTTGCTTTCATATTTGTTCCTATTTGTCTTGAGCTGCAAAACTTGTTTTCTGTCTGAAACTTTCCAATGTTTATGGACATTTGGTATTGAAAACAGTCACAATTATTGTTGTCTTAGTCTGATATTAATATTGACTTTCCGTGATTTTATTTCTTAGAAACAACATATATCAATTCTATAACTATCAATATCCTGAGCTAATAATTCCTAACATTAAATGTTCCAATCATAAAATCTTCATAAATGCCTCCAATTGCTTATAAAGATTTAAATAAGTTGCCAACTTTTAACAGTTGACAACCAGAGCAGTCATTACCTTCTCTGAATGTGAAAGGTTAAAACAAGCAGCAAAAAACAAGTGAAAACAATAGTTAAAAATTAATGCTAATATCTTAAACTGATTCTTTAATTTTCTTCACTTTCTTTTGTGATGTCAACAAACACTCATTGCCACTTTTGTGATACTTGTTGTAGTAGAGACTTTGTAATCGCAGATACAACTATAGTAACGCTGTTGAACAATACTGGTGTCAGACACTTTTGAATAACACTTGCACAATAATACTCTCTCGAAAAGTAACCACTGACTAATAATCCATGTAGTGAATAGTATATTGAACAGAAATCTGTCTATTGATAGACTAGAAATTGTAATCATTTAGATATTACATTATAAATATACCGTTCACTTTGTATTTCTGGGCTTTACTCAATAGTAGAGTGCTTACAGCTATATCTTGTTGAAACACCAGTTTCTGTACGATCACTGAAGTTAAGCAACATTGAGCCTGGTCATTACCTAGATGGGTGACCACTTAGAAATATCAGGTGTTGTATTCAATAATGAATTGGAATTGTTAATTGAAGAGCCAAGTTTGTTATATTCACTTATGCACAAATACCATTGGGGAAAAGTATGAATCCATCGTTTATTCCCCCAGTTATGGGTTAAATAGTAAGACTAGTTTCACTAAATTATTTTATCTCAAAAAAAAATCTTACAATCTAAAAATATTTTCTTGGCTTTAAATAACCAGCAAAGGGTTAAACCCATAGAAAACAAATCAGTTAATCAATGGTAGAGTGTAGGTCTGTTGATAGTTTGACCAAAGGTTTTGTCATGTAGGAAATAAGATTTTTCACAGGTGCAGCAGTGTCATTTCAGGTTTGAACCAGTTTGACACCTGTTATTTGAATTAAAGTTTTTCTTTTATTATGATGATGAATCACTTTTTTGTTTCACTCAGCTGGTGGGCTCATATCTTGGTGTAGGTTTCATCAGCAATTTGTTGAAAGTTTACCCATTAACCTTATTTATTATTGAATGGCATAGTATTTTTAATTCTAGTAAGATTCTTAATGGATCTGTAGGTGTAGAATAATTGGTCACGGTTAAATGTAATTGGCACAAATGCCCGACAAAAATAATTTGCAATAAACAATAACAAGAGAAAGAAAAAAAAAAGGGTGGGAGAGGTGGCTAAAATAATGACGCAAGCAAGCAACATATGTAAGGCAAGGCAACAGTTTTTATTTATATATATATATATATATATATATTATATGAAAAGATTACTTAACTTTTCCAATACCATATATGTATCTGTGCGATTTTTTTCGACAGACTTTCATGTTTCTAGCTCTTTCTTTTTTTAAAACCTTTTTTCCCCTCGAGATTGATTTGATTATTGGCAAATCAAAAATTTGAGGGTTTTTCGAAACGAGTATAGTTATATTTGTGTGTGTGTGTATATATATATATATATATATATATATATATATATATCTGAAGTGATACATTATGAGGATTTGAGATAATCATAATTAAGTAATTGCTTGAACCAGCTTCTAATGCTCTGGATGGAGCATCTTGGGGAGAGTAGTCATGACTCATAGGGGCACAGTCCTATGGGTAAGTGAAACTTGGATGAGTTACACTGCAAAATTTGTGAAGTGTGGCGCTATATTGAGTGTAATACATTACCACTTCATCACCGAGCTCCATTGGTACAGTTGGTATGATACTTGTATTGTTTTGGTCTGGCTTCGATTCTCAATAGTAGATGTGCACTGTTGCTGAGTCCCGAATATAGGACGAAACGACTCTCCTGTGCTCTCTGCATTCTGTTGAGGTTTCTTCTAGACTCAACGAATTACTTAATATGATATATATATATATATATATATATGGCCAGTGGCTATAGTGTATAGTGTTCCAACCATGAAACATTGCTATCCTCTTGTTACTCAATTGCTATTTTCATACAAATGTTCAGATTAGTTACATTTCTTAGTTTTATGAGCTCAGACCTTCACAGCTAGTATCTGCTATGCCATGTACATAGATCAGATCATCCTCATTTCTTTCATATTCCATTAATAAAGAGGAAGTTCAGCTTGAACAGCTTCTCTGCAACTCTAACTTTATGGAACAGAATCTTGAAGGGTATTAGGATCAGCTGTTACCTATCCTACATATTCTCATAGTATGACTTTCTTTCTTCCTCCTTTTACGCCCTTACAACAATCTCATTCCTGAGCAGACCTTAGTTACAGTTTCTGGGAGAGAATGCGTTATCTAGTGTGATCAACAATCTGAACAAGGCCAGCACACTCAAACCCTCGGTCAAGAAACCTTGTGACTTCATGACAACAGAGCTATCAACGGCCCCCAAGGGTTTTGTCTACCAAATTTCACTCACAAGGGTTGGGTCCATTTCAGGCACTTTCTAAAGGTGCCACATGCTGAGATTACCCCCTCCAGACCAATAACATCAGGAAGTATACTTCTGACAAATCAATATATATATATATATATATATATATATATATATATATATATATATATATATATATATACATTATGTGTGTATTTGACAATTCTATTTCTAGTTCTATCATGATATCTATACACTATTGGTGATGAGGAACTTCACCTATTCAATAGGGTTAAGTCTTTATATTTCCAATAACAGTGATATATAACCATTTCATTTTGGTCATGGGTAAGAATTGTTAGATTAAATACAAAATTGGAACTTTTTTTTTTTTTAATAGTACAATGGACCTATACCCCCACTCCTTATTGAGTAGACCGAGAAAATATTTTAAAAATAATTTTGGAAATTTGAGATTTACTAAAATAAATTAATTTATAAAAACATGGATAAATTAAAGTCCTTTCTTTGGCTGACAAAAAGGATACATTGATCCTTGATTTATCTCTGAGATCAAATGAAATGTATTTTGTATTATGAGATTGAGTAACCTACAATATAAAAAATAAAACTCACATTTTTTAGTGCAAGACTATTGACCTATTGACTTGTAGTCTTTTGTCTTATCAACAAGATTTTTCCACTTTGTTCCTGTTTGACCCCCTTAACCTCTTCTGGTTTTTTCCCCAGGGACCACCCAGAGAGTAGGCACCAATTGGGATCCCCCCTCCGCTAAATCACTGAAAGTGCCAAAGTTGAAAATATGTGGGGTGGTCTCATTTAAATAGAGTATTCTTATAGTATTCTTTGAATATGTACTTTTATTATATAATATATATATATATATATATATATATATATATATATATATAGCCTGTGTGGAAGCCAGGTACACTCTAGAATTAAGGGTTCTCAAGTATAAGGACACTTTGTTGTGGTTTGAAATCAAAATTTTTTTTTTTTTTCTTTTCAGAATTTGAATCATGAAAAAATATATATATATATATATATATATATATATATATAGGCAGCAAATTCTTTTTTAGGCATGTATGATTGAATAAATTAGACATTATGTCTGCTAATTTTTAACCAAGTCTCTTCATACTCATGAATAACATTTTGTGTATTGATGTTAAAGGATGAGAGAAATGTACTATAGCTGTTTAAATATCTTTTATTTTCATTTCCCAAGTAATTTTTTTTTTTTCATGTTCTAATGAACGCTCATCACACTGTCAACTGTTTTGCATTTAAAAGCATAATGAGAAAATTACGGTAATGGATAACAATGCACAATTTTGTATAAATACTTATATTAATGAACAACATATAGTTTTGTACCACTTGCACCCCTGAAGATGATCTTGGATGAAGATTGAAAGTACTTTGGAAATGAAAATAAAAGAAATTTGGAAATATTGAATTTAGTCTACGAGCTTGAAATTGAAACTAAAATAAAACTTTCAAGAAGGATTTTTTGTTTTTAAAAATGCATTTTAAATCTTTGGTATTGCTTTTCTTTGGAGATGTGTGTGTGTGTGTATATATATATATATATATATATATATATATATATATATATGTATATTCTATTAAAAATTATTTTGACTTAAGGGATATATATATATATATATATGTATATTCTATTAAAAATTATTTTGACTTAAGGGATATATATATATATATATATATATATATATTCTATTAAAAAATATTTTGACTTAAGGGGATATATATATATATATATATATATATATATATATATATATATTCTATTAAAAATATTTTGACTTAAGGGATATATATATATATATATATATATATATATATATTGAATTGGATTGATGTGAGTTTGTGACTCTGGGTTTCATGCTTTTGCGATCGGTCAGACAATGGCAAGCATGCAACCCAAGGTCACAAACTCAAATCAATCCAACCATATATGTTAACTTTTATCTCTGATATCGAGTGCTTTCTAATAAGCACCACATATAATATATATAAATAATATATATATATATATATATATATATATATATATATATATATATATATATCTATCCCTTATGTCAAAATAATTTTTAACAGACCATTTTTGTCATTTTTTTTTTGTAGCTTTCTTCTTCCACTACAAGTTTTCTTTATCATTGTATATTATTGACTGATTTGTTGAAATTGTCATGAATAAAAGGATTCAAATAAATAGATAATTTGATCTCAAGTTTATGTTCTTCGTTAAGCTCCCCAGGTGCAACTGCATTCAGGTCTCAATGAAAAAGATACAAGCTTCATAACTGATGTTTTATTCTTGATTGTCAATTCAACACCATGAAAGCTAGAAACAAATAATAAATAAAACTCTCAAAAGGAAATGTGTAAACAAAGTAGATGTTAAAAAATCAAGGAAGATGTTTTTCAAACAGAAACAACTATTTGGAACAAACTCAAAAATAACCCATGAAGGTGACATTGCATTCTTAACCTCTTCAAATCTAGGGTCAACTATTATTTATTCTACATATCCTCATAATGTGCAACCCTCCCTATATGCCCTTACAGCATCAGCATTCAGTAACCATTTACCTTCAGTGGTGCTTAAACCTTGTATTGGGGTGAACAATAGTTAAAAAAACAAAAAAAAAACTGTTTTTGTTAACATAAACCTGTTCAGTCCAGTTTGGCCTTCAGTTTCTAATACATTTTTAGTTAAGTATAAATTGACCCCTCCTATTCCCCCCCCAAAAAAAAAATAAAGGGAGATAACTCTGGATTTATTAATCATTAATTACAGAATCTTTTTTAATAAGAATATAATAAATAGGGGATAATCCTCAAAGTGATGAGCATTTGCTAATATTTCTCTAAACAAGAAGTAACTTGATGTCAAGATCAAATGTTGCTGAAGTTACGATTAAGCAGGTTCATTTAATAAAATGTTCCAAATATTTCTTACGCTAGCAGGAAAAAAGAAATCGCTCTTGTAACAATGTCGTGATCTGTGTGAAAAGTCTTTTAGGTAACAATAATGTAATCATAAATGTCAATTTCACTTGACGGTAAGAAAATTCTCTGCATGGCTGCTTCCAAATTCAACAGATGTTTGGAGGAAACCAAACTG